TTGGCGACATCCAGATGACGTTAATGTTAACGTCATAAGTCATGACGACTTCCTGCATGACTCGCGTTGACGCGGCCGACATAGGACGCCAACGAATGATTCTTGTGTCTGATCAGGCATCCAAGACATTCACCGTTACAAGAAAGAATCATGATCAATATGTTGCTCAAATGCGGTTTAACATCACGTTATAGTGTGCCAATAAGCATCTCACACCGACAGGCCTCACAAGTGGCGCCGATGAGATGTCCTTCCGCGACGCATTGATGGCTTTGCAATGACCGCATGCATTCAGCAGAATCTTTTGTGATTTGTGTTTGCCACTTGTTGAGAACCGTCGCGCGAACTATGGTTTGAGCGCTGTGCTTGTTTACGACGCCTGTATTGCGTATAAGCGGCACCCGCAACTACCAATAAATTTATCACCAGTGCCGTTATCACTATTGTGGCTGTTACGAATGGCCAGAGCCTAAGCGAAGTACTTTTTTATAGGGTAGGCTTGGTAAGTACATTGCAGCAAATTCCGCCTGCGTAACGAGATGGTACACACAGAATCAATAGAAGATGTGGTAGTGGTTTCTTGGAAGTTAAACTATCGAGGTTTGTTGGATTAACGAAGCTTAATTTTTGCCTTTGCCATCCACCTCGAGCACCTCTGGCAGGCTCTGTCAGTGCTTGAATTTTTTGTGCACCTTCTTTACTTTCAGCACACTTTCTGAACGTTTACGCCATATTTCAATAGAGATAATATGATCAAGAGAGAATAAGACAATGTCACTACAACTTTAGGGATATGAATGGCTTACGAGAAATAAATGTCGCGTGAATACTTTGGTGCTTTACAATACTTTGTCGAGAAAATAAATGCGCAATAAATTAATCATAAACAGAAAAAAAGCAGTGGCATATTCGAATAACCTGCAAAACATATGAAATGAATCCGGAAACATTAAATTTAAGCTATGTGTTGTTTTTGCCTTCAGTTACAAATTACCACGCAGGCGCCATAACAAAATCGGGAACCACGCTGTGCTTTCTAAATTGCACTCTTGACTTGTACACGTTACAAAAAAAATTTAACAATAGCAATTACAATTGCTTCAGTGTAAAAAAAGAACCAGTTACGAATACATTTGGAGCCTCAAGAAAAAAATCTAGAAGATAGTCTAGAGTATAACCGATTACGTCCAACGTTACGTTTTATACAGTTCATTTTGTTATGTTTATTATTATTCAAATAACTCACAAACAATTATGCAACGGGAAATATAGAAAGTCTCATCATGTAATAGCTATCATTTTTCAATCGGACAAACACAAGCCATTAAATATACATTCCTTTCCTTCGTTCTATTGTGTTAGCACATGTATACAGAAATATTGCGGCATGGGTAGCAAGGCCATCAGTAAATCACATCAAAAAAATTTGTAGCTGAACGTAAGTACCTAAAACTTTTGTTAAAGGCTATTTTCAAAGTACATGCCACCTTGTCAAACGTGAAAAGGCAGCTTGAAGTTTGGCAAAGTAATTCGACGTAAGCATAGGCTCGTACCAATCTTCACGACTCCCTTTTTCGGGGCTTCGCTATTCGTGCCATGCTAATGTTAAATAGGTGTCCTGCATTTATAAATTTTATGTTTTTAATTTTTTATACTTTGCTCAATTTAAGCAGAACTTGTCTCTCGAAGTTTGAGTTGGTCATTTTCCAGCGTTTCATCGATACTACGTTCGCTGTAAAGTTTGACACGGGGCTGAAGAGCGGTGCTGTGCCGTACGAACACTTTGCGTGCCAGTTCGTGATTGCTGAGCCCTTTGATACATGCGCCCGAGTTGTGATGCTATGCTTTGTCGTTACAGACACTTGAATAAAGTGCTGTAGTATGAAAAATGTCGGAAGAAATTTTTCGTTGGCAAATAATTGAGAACATCTGAGTAACTCAATATATTTTGATTTTAATTACCTATATGATTACCGAAAAATTTTATTGCATAACAATTATCATTCTTTTTCATTAGTACTATTTTAAGAACAACAAAATTACAATGAAATGTAATCTATTACTAATAATTTGTTACGCGCGACATGCTGCCTGGAAGTCTGGTTGCGCTGTAGTGATATGATTGATGGGAGGAGTCCAAAGAAGCCTGGGAATTGATTTAACCTGTGCAATCGTAACAACTTTTCATTTGTAGTTACGTATACGATTAGAGGAAGAATTTATTGCATCACAGGGATTGTTGTTACCTAAAAGTAGTGATTGAAGCGTTACAAAAACTGTACAATGTAGTAAATTACTAATATTCGATTACCTGCTACTCGTTACGTGTAAGTCTGGTTGCGCTCTAGTGATGCGAATGATCAAAGTAATTCTAAAAAGTCTCGGTATGGATTGAACCTTCATAATTCGAAGCAGGGAGCAGATATTTCTTAATCATAGTGGCCGGTAGTGTTCAGCTGCTCACTTCCTGTTAGAAGTTTCCATTCGGTTCACATTGATGCCAGGTTTTGTTAATGTACTCAGTGGAAACACTTCAGACATAAAATGAGCGTTCAGTGTGCGGCGAAACTATGCAACTTGATTACGCGTTTTTAGAGCCAGATTTCAGCAGTCACTCGTTTGCCATAATTTGCCCCCTGTCACAAGTCCCAGAAGAAAACTGCGGAAAACTTCTGTGTCAAAAGGAAATTCTCCGACACGAGCACTCATACCACCGTGAGATCTCTGGTTTTGGGACGTTAAACCCCACATATCAATCAATCAACCGTGAGATCTGATCTTGATAGTGGGCTTACCCGCTTAAAGGAGGTGGCGCTTCGGAGACTTGGGGTTTCTCTCACGCCGACAGTGACCGCCCACTGTCCGCAACACTACCGCACAGCCTATGGAAACTCGTGCCCATTTGTGACGCTGGGGCTCAGAGCTCCGGTCGGACTGGGGCCCAGAGCAAGCGCGCGAACCACCGGACACAGTCCCGATCACTCTCCGGACTAGCAAGAGTGGATGAAAAGACCATTCCACAAATCTTCGTTTAATTTTATGCACGAGTAATTTTATGTGTGATGAGCCTCTGATGTTTTTATGTCTGTTTGTAATGCCAAATCGCAGTCTTTTGAATTCGAAAAAATACTCTATATATGGTCTAATTGAGCTGCTAGTTCCAGCATTGCCCTGGTATCAATCTTCGTCTGGTCAGTCTATATATTTTTTTCCGCGGGATTTCAAGTCATTAACACATACAACACAGCAGGTGACTGTTCTTTTAAACTTGCGTTGCTGTGAGATATCTTCCAAAATATTGTACGAATTGTTTCGTACGAACATAGTGACAGTCCGGGAAAACGTTTGGTGGCGCCGCCACCGTGATGGCTTTTGTAAGGTCACAGTGACAACGCCATCTTATTACACACCTCAAGTCGATCGCTGTGGGTGTGAGAAAAAGCGTTGGTGGGGAAGTCATAAATTATGTTGCCTTTGTTCGCACGCTCTTCTCAAGATCGTTTTTATTTTCTTTGATACTTCATTTTAGCAGCTTCTATGATGATGGGTTTAAAAACGAAGATAATGATGCTGATACTGATGACGGTGATGATGATTATAAATATATCAAGTGCTTACGTCCCGAACTCAAGATACGACTATGAGAACCACCGCTGAGTAAATACCTCCCGAAGTTTCGATGACTAGATGATCTTTACCACGCACCTAGGCATAAACACACTGGCCCCTAGCATTTTCGCCTCTATCGAAAGTCGAGTACAACAACCACGAGATCACCATGGCGAGTTGCACCTCGACTCGTAATAGCAAGATATTTATTTAAATTTACCTTCATTGCGAGGCTCTACAGAGCAGCCGACATTAATTTCCTCTTAAATACCGTTATATCTCAAACATAGTCCAGGCAGGCGTATGGCCCTTCGGAGAACATTAAACAACGAATGCGAGCAATAAGATAAGAACATGCAAACATAAGCAGCAAAGATAAAAATAAAACTTCCTCGAGGACTCAGGCGACCCAAATCATCACAAAATATTTGGTGTACAAATACACTGAATCTGAGTCCATTTTGTCAGAAGTACCTCAGGCAATGTGCCAAAAATAGCGCAAATGTGGCGGCACTGGTATGAAAGCCAAAAATGTCCGAAAAATCTCAAATCACCAAAGTTGAACAAGTAGGTGCGTTAGTTCTTTTTTTTCCTGAAAAATGGGGCATTGCCCACTGCTCTTTGTTTTGTTACACCACAGAAAACCCTTTGTGAAACCTTTCTATATTCCAAAATTATAAGCTATAGAATATTCTCATTTACCGTCAAGGCTCACAGCACCCGAAAATATACGCCTTGCATATATATGTTTTATTATTATTGGTTTTAAAAATGATATTTATTTTATATGACACGTACCACAGCACCGACAAAAAATATTAGTTTGCAACACTTTACAAGTACAAATCGATGATGTGACAATCGTGGATTAAGAGTGCACAAGCGAAAGTTTTTGGTGATGTTAAACTGCATCTATTTGTTTGGAAAGACAAAGTTACTGTTTCACCAGAACAAACTGGAGAAATGAACATATTGTAAATTCTGGAAGGCAAATAAACTAATTGGTGCTGGTTCATTTTGATGATGCTGCAGCTTTTTAAGTTCTCTGGTCAATTTCACGCTCATTGTCATTGAGAACAGTACTTAAAAGCATTGGGGCAATTTTTAATTGAAGGGTCTGCATCGATGTGATCTACTTTCGCTTCCATGTTTGCCGCTGTGTGGTTTGTATTTTTAGGAATTATACTAGTTGTTGTGGTGGCATAATCTCCAAGGAAAGATTAAGTATAAATTTAAAAGAGTGTGGCAGAGTTATTTCAGAGATTGCGGCCTGAATTCCGCTGAACTATCTCTGTGCCATCGCATACGATAAATTGCGCTAATCGTACGCCTTAAGCTATTTGCTTCGAGAGTGTGTAGGCGTTCATGTTAGAAGGAGGAGACCCACTCACGTTGAAGTGCGAGCACAATGCGATGCTGACGAGAAGTAGCATGATGACAGAAGACGCCATAGCTGTCGGAATGGTGACAACGTTGACCGGAGCCGGTTTCAACCTCTATGCCTGTATTCAGTTACTCTATGAGGTCACCCTTCTTAGCTGGACTAGCTGTACGCCAGTTGGCTGTTGCAACAACGCGATATTCTGAATTTTTTTTTTACTGACTACTTTCTTTATAGGAGCAAGTAAATTGAGACACCAAAGCTGTATAACTTCAGGCTAGGTCCCGTACGTTTGCAAGTTATGAACTACTGAAACTACTGGTGCTTCGGGATGCAGTTGGTGATAGCATAGAAGAGCGGAGTGAACGATGGACGGCGTGCCGTGCAGGGCGCTCCGAGTTTGGCGCCCGCGCGACAGCTGCCTTTTATGGAAGCGCGCGACCACTGCCACGTGACCGCGACTTGGGCGACCAATCATTAGAGAGCGAGTCCCGCCGGAAGGCGGGCTGAACGAGCCCTGTTTCCTGAGGGAAGCGAGGGAGAAGAAAACGGCTCAATGGGGAAAGCCTGCGGGAGCGCAATCGAAAGAGTGGCGCCGGGAAAAGGTGTCGCAACAAATCATTTCGTCTTCGATAAAAGGAAAAGGGAGGAAAACGGACGCGAAAACTTATCGGCACCGTTGGCACATCTTTCGCGCTGGCTGCCTACACAAAATCTGGCGCACTTTTTGATCTGTCGTGACTCGGCTTCAGATAGTGCGGAAGCAGGGATGGTGCCCGAAACAGGTGGAATTGGAAAGAAAGGTAAGACAAAGAGAAAACAAACGAGGTAATTTTCAACAAGTGTTTTTTATTTCGATAACCAGCGTCCTAAATGTCTTTTCAAGCTTATTCGAACAATCCTTCTTTTTTTTGTTTCAACATCAAAGATTTACTACCTGAGAGACAACTTTGCTGATAACAAATCATTTGAGCAATAAATACTCTTTGTGGAACGCGATTGTAGGGTCATTGACTCCAAGGTGTTTTGACAAGTATTTTGCATCTAGAAATGAGTGTCACGTTTTCATCTTCGCTACACTTTTATACCAAAAGTAGCAAAGGAGGCAACAGACAGAATGTTAGGCTTCGCAAAAGTGCCCACCATGCAAAAAATAATTAAAACTTATAAACACCCTTATTGATTTGGAGAAAAAAAGAACCAATAAAGGCAATGAGCATGTCGAAGCAGTAGTAGTAGAAACTTTATTGTATTGGAGGGCATTAGGAAGAACGTATTGTGGCGCTCTTTCTGTCTCTTCTCGTTCTTCTCTTTGGCAAACTTGCGCCACGTATTTCAACTTAAGTAATTCCCCTAGTTCAGGGCCTATCTAAATTATATAAGAATTTTAAGAAAGAAACGTATCAGAAACGTGCATAGGAAGACTAGGACAGACCTTGCGTTCCTCTCTTAACTCTGTCATTTTCTTTCATCGCTTAAGTGCATTTGTGCTTTCGTGCCCAGTGTACATGAACCAACTCACCCAAATTCGAATTTTACTTTTATGCATTGCTGAATAAAAGCTACTGAGGTGGCATTTGATTTATTGCACTGTATTATATGTCCTTAGTAAGATTGTTCGAAAAATATAGGGAGTTGTGGTAGCCCTTGACAAATAACTCACGTGATTTCTTTTTCTCATTCTCTTCATGGGAACTATTCTCAGTGCTTTCACGCTGCGATTTCCAGGCAGCTACTGCAATATTGTTTCTCTCTCTTTTTTTTTATTTTTTGATAACAGTCAAACCCATTATCAGACCCTGAATGTCCACGGGAGTCACGACGAACAGATGATTCGGCAACAAGCATAGCTCCATAACGCTCAAACTTTTGTGCTGGGTAGTGGCGGATCCAAAAGGAGGTGGAAGTAGGGTGATCGCACCCCCTCCCCCTCGAAGTCTGTGTCAGCACCCCTCACTCCCTCACTTCAATGCTCCGAGTTCACTTCTCATCACCAATAAGGACAAATGAGTGAAACCATTGTGAGGACACATCACCATTATTTATGTAATGAAGGAGTTTTTCTGCTAGGTGACCCCCCCCCCCCCCCCTGCCTGAACTGAGTGGATAGGTCTGCCCCTGGTGCTCGGTGTTATGAATTCGTCCCTTTTATATCTGTTCAATCTCGCACCAATGTCAAAGCGAGTGCTGCTGCCTTTGAACTTAGAGGCCCATTGCTTCAACCGTGATTTATGCTCACAAAAATTTTCTGTGTGGAGCCACCATTTGAAAGCCGCCCTTTGTCTTACACCATGGAAAGTTTCCAAAGAGACGGGGCTCTGTAAATAAACAAGGGGTTACAACGGGAGCACCCACATCTTATTCATGTTATCAATATCAATGAACCGAAAATAAAATGATTTACTATGTGATGCAGAGAACACGTAGATGTATAACCTGAATAGGTTAATTGTGGCTGTTGATTAGAGGATGAAAGAGCCTCGTAATTATCGCTATGGGCTCATCACAGTCCAATGAATATTTCGTGTCTTAGCAAACATCAAGTGAACTTTGGGGAGGTTTGAGTGTACCGGCGAGATGAAAATTTTGCCCTCACAACACGAGGCGCTTCTCGCAGAGATTGTGTTGGATGTTATGAAGCAGCTGACAGAAAAACACAAGCATAAAAGCAGAATGGAAGCTTTCATGTATCTGACATGCTTTCTGCACTGTAGGCTCAAAGACTTATGAAGATGGTGCAGAGAGTGTTGTTTAGTGACCAGAGTGCAATTATTAAAGACTGTTGTCACTCAATATAACATAGGTAGAGAATAAGCAATTGAACCTATATGAGAAAAATGTACTTCAAATGCAAGTGCATGAACACTCAACAGTACCAAGCGGAAAAACTTTTTCGAAAAATTCTAGGAGCTATTTTGCGCTGTTGCTAGTTATGAATTAACAACTCTCTCAAACATTTACATTGGTAAATGTATGAATACAGGCGCAATTTAAATGTTGACTCGTGGAACGCTGTCAATAACCACATTTAGGTACCTATTTTTTAATTTTCTCTACTTTTTATATTTGCAAAAATTAAGCGCAAGAATTCATAGTTTTGTGCCTGATATGTTCACCTTAGACTGATTATCAATGGATATGCCACTGCCTACTTTTAGCTAAAGTGTGTTTCTATTAACCAGCTATTCAAACATTTAATAATAGTCAGTCAAGGACGACAGATTTTCTTGAAATTTCTGATGTAAATGGGCTGCTGGGATGAAAGAATATGCGTCCCACACTCAACGCATGCACACACAGAAATGTTTCCGATTCAAGTACTTCCAGGTGATGTGTCTCGTATGAATAATTGACTGCGGTAACTCGTTCATGAAACAAAGAGCCATCAATTAGCACAGCAGAGTGCTCTTGATTATTACTGTGTGTATCTTGACCTGTATCACCGCAATACATGTTGAAGCAATGTCTTTCATTGAAATGCAGGAACAATGTGCCATCATCACTGCATTTTTGGCAAGGCGAGTTTCGCCTATAGCGTTTATGATCCGTGGGGTTTAACGTCCCAAAACCACCATATGATTATGAGAGGTGCAGTAGTGGAGGGCTCCGGAACTTTCGACCACCTTGGGTTCTTCAACGTGTGCCCAAATATGAGCACACGGGCCTACAGCATTTTCGCCTCCATCGAAAATGCAGCTGCTGCAGCCGGGATTAGATCTCGCGACCAGCGGGTCAGCAGACGAGTGCCTTTCCCACTAGACCACCGTGGCGGGGCGCCTACAGCCTTCAATAAATCGTGTTGTACGTAGACAGATCAACAAAACTTGAACGCTCAAAGACAAAGAGAGTTTTGTGTTGTCATATATCCCAATAGAATAGATCAATTTAGGTAACATAGCAAATTTGGTATTTTTAATGCGATGTGCCAGCAACTTTCTCCATTACGACTTTCTCCATTACTCCACATCGAGCGTCCGAAAAATAGCCCATTTAACATTCGTACGTCCACAGTTGGAATATGCCTCACCAGTTTGGTCACCTTATCAAAACTATTTAATACAGATGATCGAAGCCATTCAAAACAGAGCAGCCCGCTTCATCACTCAGAAATACCAATTTCACAGCAGTGTATCTCAAATTAAACGTGAGATCGGTTTACAACCATTGGATATCCGCCGAAAGATAGCCCTCGTGTTGTTTCACAAGTACATTAATAGCAGAAATCTATGCGCTTTCCCTCTACACACACCGGATCGCATGTCTGCACGCATGCGAAATCAGCGGAGCTTTAAGCGTATTTTTGGCAGAACACGCGCGTTCAACTCATCTGCTTTGCCACAGGCAATCTCACTGTGGAATGATCTTCCCGACGAGATAGTTTCAGTCACTAACAACGCGTTTCGCGAGAAACTACTCCCTCACTACATCTAGCATCATTTCATAGACATTTGTATGGAGGTGCATATACTTGGTGACTGTATTTTCCTTGTTCTATTACTGTTATTAGTGTCGCTGTTATGTTGCATTTATTTGTATATTTGAACTGTATACGTTCTCATTTTTCTTTCTTTTTTTCTGTAAGCCCCCCTTACACTATGCTCTAACGAGAGCCTGTAAGGTATGTTAAATAAATGAAAAAAATAAACTGGCCCTTGTGGAGACTTTGTTCTATATATGGTATTCCTGAGGCTGCACGCAATGTATTTATTCATAACTGAATGAAAAGCGGCAAAATATATTCAGGGAAAGGGGAAGAATAGAATGCCAGGTAATAATGAAACTATACAGTGCCGGGTATATAAAGGGGAATTGTCACAGTATTCGGTTGGCTCAGTTTTGTCAGCTGCTTGTACAAGAAAGTGCTCCCCAAATTACTTACGAGGACCCCACACCGCGTTCATGGATATTTTTTGTTCCCATTTCTTGACGGCTCATAGTTTTCAGTCGCGTTAATCATGGTGTGATAACCGGATTCAGGACTAAATAAGGGTCGTTATGACGGCATGTGCTGTAGCTCTAACTGAAATGTCATCTCTTGCGATATTTCGAGAAATAAATTGATGTTGTGGGCACGACCTAACTTAGTGGTTGTGAGATAATGACAGATAAAGCTTTCAATATGGTGAAATCCTAACTGTAGTGGTCGAAACCACTTGCTCGCGTAAGTATTTTCAGTTTTCGAAAAACATTTGGTTATATATTTCTCAGCCAACTATATTAGCGCCGGCAGAGATGCGCGGAAAACTGATATGACATTACTAACAATATGCAACAGAATTAAGTCAGTATGTTTAAATATCTTATCTGTGCTGTATACAATAAAATTCATTTTGACTAATACGCGAAAAGACGCCACCCACCCTGTTCGCACAACGAAGT